GTCAAAAGGATATTCTCAAGCAGTTACAGGATTTATTATAAAGTATAGTGAGTGCATAGTTTGTAGGCTAACACAGCAGCCAATTTGTGTACAATAATATCCCACATACAGCTATGAACATTCATTTCATGGTTATTTGTGGAATAGACAGATGGGACCTTGGGACATTACATCCAAAATACAGCACCTTTGCCAATGTAGTACACACCCCCAGCACTGCATTGAAATATCAGCCTATTTTGAGTTCAAAGTCTCAACACAGGGCTTGAATCCTAACATAAGACAAAATCTAATTTTAAATTTCTGGAAATAATCTATTTCACAATATTGTAAAACATGATTTATGTAACTCTTCCAAAGTTTTTTTTAAAAAATAGTTTATTTTATTGGATTCTGTTCTATCTCCTCCTCTGCCTTTTAGGGGCTCATATATTCATTCCTCTGCTGAATTGAAACAGGATAATTTTGATTTTCACCTACTCAACCTAATTTAACTTACTGTTGTAAACTGCAAATGGCACGGGAATATCATATACATACATGGTTGACATTTGCTTGATAGCTTGAAAAATGTAATAATGTTTTTTTATTTTCTTGGTTGTGAAATTGCAACAAAATTCAATACTGAAAAAATGATTACAGAATAAAAATTGTATTGAATTTGCAGGGAATTGGGTAAGGGAAGGTCACATTAGTGCTGAATATTATCATTTGGAGCAGGGAAAGGCAGAAGCTTGGGTCCTGCTCTACGCATTTTAATAATAAACCTGAAAAGCTATGCCTTAGCCTTTTTCATTGGGTCTTTTCAAACAGGAAGTTACTGAGTATAGGTTACTGTATAGGTTACTGTATCTCAAATGAAGAGGAGAGAAATTCAGGTGTGGGAGTTATGTCTGGGCACACTCTGGCATCTCCTAGTTGTCGATTAGAAGGATGCATGGACAGTGGCCTGGCACAAAACCTCCTGCTCGCTTGCTGAATTCCCGCTGTCCCTTCCCTTCCCTCCCCTCACCCTGACTATTTCCCCCCTGCTCGGGTCCTGACCCAACTGTACAGCACCTTGGGACGTCCTCCCGACGTGAGGCGCTCTATAAATGGAATCTTGTTGTTGTAGTTAGACAAAGCAAATAAGTTAAAAATAAATGAAAGAGTGCAGAAAAAAATTGCAGGATACATTTCTCTCAAGAATAGGTAACCTTGAGTTGCATCACCAATGTTAGCTGCATGTATTTCTGTGTACAAACATACCTTTCTACCTCACTCCAATTAATGAGATTACATCAATTCACTGAGCAAATAATTTGCAAAAAGTCAAATAAATCAATGAAGTCAAGATGCTCAACCTAATGCCAATAAACAGAAAAGACAGCTAAGGAGAAGTGACTAATAATTCTCTTGTAGAATGCTTTGTATAGATCCCTTTGTTTCCAATGTTACAATGAAACTTGTTAGTTGGTGTCCTTATTGATATGTTATTAAATGCAACAACAAAATTACATTTGTATAGCGCCTTTCACTCGGGAGTGCATTCTGTATTTTCATTATGTTCGTAACTATGTGTGCTGTAATTGACATTGACACTATAGTATGCTTTAAGGAAATACTGCCATTCTATGGTTTTGTTCATGTAATTATTCATTAAAACTGCTTTCTATTTAAAAATGCCTTCAAGTTGTAAACCTGTGCCTTAGCCTTTTTCATTGTCATACCCTAACAGCTATATTATGTTTCATGCATTCAATGTGAGTTTTGGAAATCATTCACAGAACTGCAGTTACTTATTTCCTGGTTATTAATCGATTCATTCACAACAAGAAGCAAGTTAAAAATGCAAATGCAAAATTGTCTCTTAAATTGGAAAAAATTATGTTAAATTGCAGCATAATTGTTCTACTATTCAATATTGTTCTATCAGTTTAAGATTCACAATTTCTCTTCTATAAGGTTTCCCATTTAGGGCTTGCGTAGGGTCACACTCCAAGCTTGGAGCATAGTCCTTCTATTTCTGGACAATTCCTAGTCCAGAATGTCTCAGTGACAAACCTACATGCAAATACAGTGGATTGCTAAATTACAAAAACAAATCGGTTCCATCTTGGACTTCAGTGAATGAGGTAACCCTATTTTGATTCATTTGACCAGAGTATTAGGTGTTCCATTATTTAAGATGCTTGAGTTGCCATGACATCTACTCTTTCCTCAAAGAATACTGAATAAACTATGTCACTCGGAGTTCACAGTTCCTGCGTAAAGCCTGTTCTCAGTCTTCATTACATTAAGTTAACCTGATATTACAGGACAGGCTACAGCAGGAATGGTGAGTCGCCAATTATATAATTTAACCTAATTTGTAGGGGTGTTCCAGGTGGTTTATGCAATTATGCAAATGATAGCGTTCTAACCAGAAATAAGAAACTACTATAATAATAATAATAATCCTTGCATTTGATATAGCGCTTTTCACGTCGGGAGGACGTCCCATAAACAGTCCTATAAAACAGTCAAACTAATTAAATAGCGAAGAAAGTACAATGTGCTCAAATTAATAATCTTATCACCAGTGATTCATCTATAATTAATAATGAGGTCATAGAATCGTAAATATTGCAACATTAAGAGGAGGTGGTCCACCTATCATGCCTATCAAGGTAAATTACTCATTAAGTGTTCAGTATTTCCAGAAATAAGTTTCCTTTTCAGATGGTTTAAGGTCTGCATATACAAATAGCATGCATTGCCTCTGAAATCAATCTTCACTGACTTTAATGCTAAATATCTCTGTGCATCATTGACTTAGTTAACTGAAAAACAGAACAATGGATTACCAATCATGCTCTTTGTGTGAGTGTATAAAAATAACAATCCTTGCTTTTGAAACAGTGCCTTATCACGTTATTGAGACGTCTCAATGTTCTTCACAGAATATATTGTAAAGTGGATTGACTGTGTATTTTGCAGGTGAAATGCAGCAGCCAATTCCACTCTGAACGACCATATTGTTTCAATTTTTTTAAGAGGGATTTATTACCCTCGGAATGCAATCTACTAACCGACTAACAACCGGGTTCCAGGAATCAAACTGATTTTCAGTGTTGATGTCATCTATTTACATGCAGTGCAAGGACAACTATCCATGAATACATGGTGATGGTATGTAAAAGTGTACAGAGAGACGAGGAGGATTACAGTTTGCAGCAGCAATGTTTGTTTTCCTCCAAGGCATTCTGAATATGAAGCTGTGTAATGTCACCTCACTCTGCCTGAAGATGTCTGGATTTCTGAGAGGTTAGCAGTAGCTCTTTGCTTCCTATCTTTCCGAATGCCCAAGATGAATTATTTTCCACATGATAGAATGCTACAGTCTGTTGAAGCTATGATCAGCTGGTCCTCACTCATTCCCAGATTTGTATTTAGTAGAGAACGTGCAGCAGGGATATTATTTGTGGGAGAGAGACAATAGTTAAATTTCCACTCCAACAATGCACAGTTCAATCAACTGCCCAAATTGCAAGAGCTAATAATATTGTCTAACATGCAGCATGCATATTAAACACATGCAGCACCATGCAGTCTGATGTACTATCAACCTTGACCCTGGAACACTTTCCACTTGAGCAAAAGCACAGTGGTTGAAGACAACGTGAAAACAATCATTTGGCTGGCTGCAGTCACTGGCGGGTTGTGAAAGTTTGAAATATCTAATATGACAAGATTGCATGAAACATGACAGGGAGCATTTGGACAAACAACTCTGCAGGATAGCAGAAAGAGTCAGTCAGTGGAACCCTTTTTCTGGGAAATATCAGGTGACTGGAATGCTAAATTCAAACATGCATATATGTACAGAGGACAAGCAGGGAACAGTTAAGATCTAAGAATTTATTTCTCTAATTAAATGAAATGAGATGCCTGATGTCCAAAATTTTGGCATATGGCCACGTGGCAAACAAAGTACAGTATTTAAATTTTTATCTTGCTGCAAACAATCATCATAGAATGACCCTCATTTGTGTTTCCTAGGGACAATGAACAGTAGTATTAACCAGTTTATTCCACTGGTGAGAAAGAGCACACCTTGTCATCTGAAGTGACAATAGAGTATCCTCTCCATAAGGGGAATAACCCAGATGAGTCCATCATCATCATTAATTTAATAGCAACTTCTCAAGCAAGGAAGATGTTAAAAATAAACCTTACATTTGATACAATGTCTTTCATGTCTGGAGGCCGTTTCAAAGTGTTTCACATGGAATATTGTAAAGTGCAGTGATTCTGTACTTTGTAGGTGAATGTAGCAGCCAATTTGTGCATCCCAATATCCCCCAAATTGTCATGAAATGAATGATATTTATTTTTATTTTATGGTGTGAGGGGGGTGGGGGGGAGGGGATTGGTGGAGAAACTCCTTTCATTTTCCAATAGTGCCAAGAGATCTTTACTTTCAACTGGACAGGCAGACATAGTCTTGGCTTAATGTCTCAACCAAAGAGCAGAACCTCCAACAAATCAATGCTCCAACAGCATTGCTACTATACTAGTTCAAAGAACATGGAGCTTGAACACACAATCCTCTGACTCAGAAGCAACAGTGCTACCAATTAATTGAGCCAGGCTGACACCAAACCATATGTGGGGGAAGGATACACACTGATTAGGATAAAGTTCCTTTTGGTTGCAGTTAAGAAACAAAGCAAAATTCCCTTTGTTGCAAAAGAGAACTTGTAGGGCCTAAACCAATTTGCTCAGGTTTCAAATGTATCTATAAATTCATATATATGTATAAAACATTGTAACCTCTAACAGTGAATTATTTAAATGTACACTCATATGCTGCCGATGCCTTTTCAAATATTAAGGAATAATCTCTAAAATGTATTTATAAGCAATTGATGACCTGAGCAAAGGAACAGAAAAGGTTAACAAAAAAAATCATTCCGACATTTTTATTGGCAAATTACTATAATGTCTGTTCTTATTTGTTCATGACAAATCACCCTTACCTTAACTGGGAAATTCACAAGCGAACTGGTCAGATTGCCAGTGTTGCATTTGAAATTCAAATGTTGGTCTCTATGATTCTCTGCATCCCAATCCCATGTACCCACGTCATGGATCAATGATCTCTCTGAATTCAGGCTCGTTTTCTGGAAAGCAGTGCATGTCATGCCTGTGAAACTAGCTGGCTTGATCATGAATGCCTCCAGTGCGACATTCATGGAAACCTGGTGAAGATACAAATGATCAAAAGGAATTACAATGAAATTAGCTGAAAAAAGAAGTCAAAAGGGTCCCAAATTCAGGTGCCTGAAACACAAGCATTTCATTGTTGTAGTTTTGTCGATTTTGTTACCTTTTGCTGTTTTTTTGTCTCAGGGGAATAATGTAATCTCATTAATTTAATTCCATGCCATTAATTGTTGGCTGGCAGTGTTTCGAGAAGAGCAGAAATTGCTCAGCATTGCGTGATATTATAAAATAAACCTAGTGTTTATTTTATTTACAAACAGCATTGAAGCATACTTTAAAATGGCTTATAATTTGGCTTTAACAGATGATACAGAAAAAGGTTTATTAAAATAAATAGAAAGAGGTCAGATTATCACAGCTGAATTTAAGGTGCACATCAACAGGAATAACTGTATCAATGATTAAACAGCAGCACTTGCCGAAAGAATTCAGAGCTTAGAACACAATCAACAAAATTCAAGTAAGCTTGATTACATCTTACACGAAATTACATTTGTATTCAAAGTGCATTTCAATAGCTGGCCTGCTTTGCCAGGAAATTGTAGCCATGGACTGATGGGTGAATTTACAAACGAGGAACAGAGCTAAAGAGATCACCGTCGATACTGGAAATCTGAAATAAAACCAAATATGTTGAAAATGCACAGCTGATTAATCGGTATCTAAAACAGATGGATAGGTTAGCGTTTGGGATATGATTCTGAACCTTTAAATTGTAGCATATGAAATCATTGACCTGCAGTGTTTTTTATTTTGAAATGAACTAGGGCCTGAAATAGTAAACGTCAGAAATCTTCTTTCTGAATGTTAGAGAGAGAACATTGAACATGCCCAGGTTCAACACAGAAAATCTAATATAAATATATATTCGTTTGAACATTTTAATAATTAAAGTTCTCCAGGCAAGAATACATTACAGTAGCTTTAGCTCAATTTATATAAAAGCTCACATATTCTTGCCTGAAGGCTTCAACTGAACTTCAACATTACTTCATGCTGTTGTAGCTTTAGATTCAGAAGGCAGTAAACTAATCTACTTCTTGGAAACCTCAAATTGAAATATTTTGATATTTTATTTTACCAAATTGCCGCCAATGCTTAGATCATTATATTTTTAATCAAGACTGCTGAGATTTTTGTGCTTGCAATTTTGTAAAAAAATAGATACGCATCAACGGAAGCAGAACGTGGGGAGATTATGATTGCCGATGAATCATTTGGATAAAAGTAAGATGTGTTTAATGTCACTCTCAGCGTTCTGACATCTCAGAAATTTGAATATAAGTGAAACACAACAAAAAATTGTTCATTTTTATTATTAAAGTCTTGTTAAAACCCATTAAGAACTCTTGTGGATTGCGAGCTATGAAGTTAGAAATCTAATCTATGAGGTAAAAGAGTAGTTTGTGTCTGTCACTGCAATGTAGATGTGATCTTTCACTTTTATTGGATATACTGGAATTCATTTCTGATCAGATAAATACATTCCTCTAGTTGTCAATATTTATCAAATAATTGACTGGATTCTTCGAATATGTTTCGATTTGTGCTTTATTTTTGCATCAATAACAAAGGCACTTTAATGTGTTAAAACAACTAAAATTGTTGTATTTATTTATTTGGATTCCTTTTTTTGTGCCTTTGTGAAGATTAACTACAAAGACCTTAACTAAATACAAAACATTTTTGTACAACAACATTGTGACAAAATGGTGCAATTTTTAAAAAAAAATTCCCTAAACAAAAATAGTTCGCTAAATAGTTTTTGTGCATAAAAAAAGTCCATTCGTTTTCTAATCAAGCACTATATTTAACACCAGTAAATTCATGTTGGTACCTTGTGTTTGACCCCACAAATGTTCATTATTTAGTAGATAAATTGAGGATGAAGGAACTGCAATAATCTTTAGATCTTCACGAGAACTACTGCAGGCTTTCTGAACCTTTTCACCCTTTCTGTTCAAATACAGAATACAACACAGGAGTAAATACCTTTGAAATGACCTGTGTATTGCTCGTCAGCACAAGACTTGCAATGAGTTCCACACATTGTACCATTCGGGTACAAGCTTTTTCTTCATTCTGGGCCATCCATAGTACATGTTCATCCACCATCATCATGTTACTGGCTATTTCAGTTATGTGTCCTCCCAGCTGCAAAAAAAAATTTTGCTCATTATTTGTATAATTCATCTACACTATTTTATATCTCAATGTACAAGTACAGTCTGGTGTGAATGCTCTCTGTACATTTCAAGCTAGAATGCCTTAAATTATGACAAGATTTTTTAGCATCTCTGAATTTCTCTGATGCTTGTTTTCAGTTTGATTCAGGATTGCGTTTTCTTCCAAAATAGTTACATTTTCTGCTTATTATTTTGTGGTGAAAATTTAACAAGCGATAATTATCACTGGTAATAGTTAGAAATGGCTAAATTATATCTCCAAAAAATGTGGTCTGATACAGATAATAATTATCAAAAGGCAAATCACCGATTTCTTTGAAGGTTAAACACTGGGTTCTCATTTTCTAATCAGATATAAAGCACTTTTGTTATTATTCCTTCTTCAAAATAAAATGCCAGCCATGAATCGGTTTCAAGCCAAACTGGCTCTCTACATCTCCTCGATGTGCTCCTTCTTAACCTTTGACTAAACAGAGCTCAATATTTTTGCAAATCTGCCAAATCAAATATTTTGTATTAAGCATTTTTAAGTGAATTTCTTTGCTACGCCCAGAATAAGAAAACCCTACAAGCAAATATACAAAGCTTGACATTTGTGCATAAGATAAAGTGAATCAAAATATCTTAGGCAATAACCCTCTGAGTTTATTCATATGTCCAAAGTAGGTATTTTAGTTGTTAAAAAAATCCAACATCTATTTTACCAATGGCACCTTATTCACAAATCCAATCCCTGGCCTAGGGATCTCTCTACCCTGTCTGGAAGGAATCAGCGTTTGACTCTCACTATTATACTTTGTCCTGAAGGAATCAGCTTAGAGCCCTATATTTTGTCCCCAGCGTGGGGGTGAGGTTTCCTTTTCCTGCAGTGCTTGTAAGGAAAATCTAACTCAGTTGTTAACAACTTCCTCATTAATGAGGTCAGATACATTATTTTTCTGTGGAGTTAACCCTATTTATTGTGGGCTCAAATCAACAAAACCACAGTTACTCTTATGATGTGTGCATTTTATAAGGCTTCAGTGTTTATCCTGGCTTTAATTAAACTTTAACCTGAAAGGGGTGAAGCATTTGGCTTTAACAGAGCTTATAACAATCACATTCGAGAATGCTTGGTACTAAAGTCCTATATTTAGGTATGGGTTTTACAGTATTTTAAACCCAGTTCAACAGAGAAGTTCCAACTGGAAACTTCTTTCCCATGAAACCTGTTGTTTTAGGACGTAGAGTTTGCAGAAGGAATGCCAATATTCTTACAGGAGAATATATGGGCTTGCAGTTTTCAAGTTGAATTATTATAGCAATAAATAGAAACAGCACAATTGTACAGGATCCTATTGGTACATTGTACATATTGACAATTTTTGGGGGTGCAGTTTATGAAAATCAGGGTGAAACTCCACTTGCCCACTACTGGAACCCCCAAGTCTTGGCTCTTGTCAACCTGCACCTAATATTCCCCAGTAGTCCATTGGCTGGGTGCATCCCTAATGGGAGACAGTGTGCATTCCATTCAGACATATGGAAGTGTCCATGTGTAGGTGGCATACAAAGGTGGAACTATGAATTTGGTCTGGGTACTCTTAAACATGGTGATGGGTTTCCACATGTGCAATACACCTGACTGACCAAAAAACACAAAATAAATGAGGAGTAAAACTCCTGCTCTATGTTCATTAGCTCCAACCCTGAAAGAGCAATCCCTGCTGAACCAGTGTGCTTTTCTCCCATTTCTCACTCCAGCTATCTGTTGGCTCCTGAGTAAAATATTTCCAGTTTAGTGAAGAGCAGTTTTGTGCAGTGAGTTGATGTTTTCTAACAATTGGACTCAGAATGACAAACATCAATCGACTATTTTGGAGGAAAAAACAGTTTCAGAATTTCTTTAAATTAAGCTTAGAAAAACTTAACATGTTTATAAAACTAGTTGAAACTGTTTTAACTAAATCACTGATGCAAGTGCACAGACTTTTTTTCCTTTCAGTAATCCATGAAATTAGTGTTGATATGAAAAAGTAAAATTTGCTCTGAAAAGAATGTATACCCTACCTTGTTATAATAATGGCATCATATTCCAGCAAATACACAACATATTAAAATGTTGTGGTAGTTATTATAATTGATGTTTATGCAAGAAAAGACTCCCAAGGCACCAATTACTGTATTTCAATCTTATTTACAATTATAGTAAATAATGGTATGGAACCAAAAATAACTGTTTTGAAAAGGGGCAATAATATGAACATATACAGAACAATCACACTTAAGAAACAAATTGAGTTATAGCTACAAATCTTAGACAGTTATCAAACACACATTTAATTTTCAGAAGCATTACCACTGGAATAAAGGGAATTAACACTTCTGGGTTTCACTTTATAGTACTGTACAATGTAAACTGAATTAGTCACTTTACCGTGAATCTGGACATTCCATTCAGATGAAAATTCAATTTACTTTCTCTCAAGTCACTAACCAGTCTGCTCATGTACGCTGGAATGCTGATCATCTGCTAGTTTTTATTATCCACCGTGGGAGAATGCCATTTTAGCAGATAATCAAGGTTCCCTTGAAAGACAGATATTCTGAAATATGACGACTTGCAAAGTCAAAGCTATTCTTTGGCTCATACTACATAAAACCCGAGAAACAAAGCTGATCAAGATAACACAAAAATGGCTATAATGTTAATAGAAGAATGATGGGTGCATGGAAACATATGCGTGGGATTGACATCCAGATTTTTATACTTTACATCTTTTATGCGATCCACAAAGACAATCAACTTCTGAATCATTCGAGCCACATAAATGACATCCATCATGTCTGAAAAGTTGTCTGCCTCTTCTGTGTAGGCCATTAGCTGGTGGGCAAAACCCAGGGCATTGGTGGCATTGACTGGCATCTGCAATCACATATTATATTGAATTCGGCAAACTAGTACCTCAGAAAAACAGCAATAGTACTCACCAATAAGGAATTACAGTATTCCTGAAATCAGTAAAAGCAAACTAAAATAATATTACAGGTTGAAGATTAAAATTTAACAAGAGTAAGTCTTGGTATAGGAACTTCTTTTTTGCTGGGTGCAATTGTCTGCAAAATCCTGGGACATCATATGGCAGGCATTTACAAAGAACAATCCCAGAGTAGAATAAAATGCCAGCATCTTTGTCAGCTCTTAAGGCCATTAACAGAATACATTTACTTATTCCAATCACTGCCATTATGAGGCCACTTTCTACAGCCTGAATCTACTGACTGTATCTTAGCAGTAATTTCATGAATGATTATAATAACCATCAAGCACTCCTAAATCAGTTAGACACTGTCATGAAAATCTTCATGAGGAGCACCTACAATGTGTAAATTTTCCTCTTCATGTGCAAGCCAGTCTCATGACTGCTCTCTATTCAGTGCTACTTACTGCTGAAGTATCATAAAATCCAGTGGATGAATTGCAATTTAAGATTGCAATTGCAATGTGCAATCTACAATCATTACCTACAAGACTGAACAGTGTAGTTTATGGGCTACCTTTTCCAGTTGAGTTAGAAGCAAGGTATAACTTTAATACCAGTGTGACCAACAGTTATCGTGGAAAAAAAATCTGTGCTCTCAAGGAACTGGGTTGAGAATATTCAATAAGCAACATTTTGCTCAGAACCCTTAGAGTCAGCAAAATGCTTCACCATTATGAGCACACGCCAATTCTAAATCCCAGAGGTGCCAGCTCAATTTTCTAACATACTGAACTACTCAACTGTTCTACAGTCACATTTCTGAAAAACAGTAACTCTTTTCCAGAGCTGATTACTCTTTGGTTTATGATATTGACAAGTTCTTACCTGGCTGAAGGCATGAAGGATTCTCGTGACTTCATTTGCATATGGGCATTCAGCATAGTTCGCTGCCACCCAATGTCCAGAACTATCACATTTACGCCAGGCTTTCCTTTCATGGTGATCTCCATTGTAAGATACAGATGCAAATGGATACATACAGGGGTGATGTGCTGTAATACCAGCCAGTGTCCTAGGCCATCTACAGTAAAAAGAGGGTATCAACAACAACATTTAAAATGAATATCATATAAAAATAAATTAAACTTACTTTGAGATATCTTTAGGAAGACTTTTGAGCCTCTCTCTCTTCAATTGTATCTGTTGAATGGTATATTGAAAAGTACTAATTACTAGTAAATTGGCCTTTTCCAGGAATATGCAATGGGGAAGAGTGGAAAGACATTTTGCAGGAGGTAACTAAAAGTTGCCACCGAGTGTAACTATATTTTGTTTATGAATGAATATTTTTCTTCTCTTTGTATTCCTGTATTTTTTTTTCCACGCTTCCCATCTCTGTCCCTTCTCTATGCATATCCTGTCTCCCGGTGGTTTTGTTCTGTCTGTACATTTCACTCTGTCATTTTGTTTATGATTCTGTGTGCGTCTCCCGCTAGTTTGTGTTTACAATACCCAGTCACTGCACTTCACAGTACATTTTGTGAAGGGCTTCATGATGTTCAACAATCTCATAAAGTACTATATCAAATGCAAGGATTACTATTGTTAATATTATTATATTTATTATTCTATATATTTATTTAACACTTCTTGAAACACTGCAACCCTCTGACAGCTTTAAGGCAACCCGTTTGTTTTCTTGGAACTTTCATTCACTACCACTTGTTAATTTTAGCACGTTCTAAGCACTTTGTTTTAATTACAGTGAGCAAAGCTGAAATCTGCTATCCTAAATCCCCTTTAACATCCATCCTTGTTTCTGACAAATGAGAACTAATTTTAGAATCACCCACTGAAAATGATCAAGATATTCTTTCTATGCATGCTGGCTAAAAGTTAAACTATAAATTTTAGCGAAAAACTGTTAAGAAGAAATAAGCAGCTATGCTATCAAATAGCTGAACAGAAGAAAGGAAGAATACAATATTCCCTGAAATGGCATTATCTAACAGAAATGTAAAATAAAATTGCTGACACAACATTCTGGTCTGTCTCTAATGCATTTTATCAGGATATAATTCTGGACCTAGAATATTTAAATTAAACAAACCTTTGTAGAATGGTTATTTTCATACCACAGAAATTCTTGTTTACATAACATCAGTTTCCTTCCTTTCTGGCCTTTCAATGTTTTACTGACTTCAACTTTTTCACCCAGATGTTTCTATCTCCATATTCTTTTAACAAGTCAACTGTGATAAAGGTCTTTTTTTTAAAAAAAATCCTCTAATGAAGTCAATAAGTCAATTTATTTTTAATGGTTTCTTATTTCAGTAAGAATGAAGCAAGAATAATTAAGGCAGACTGAATTGAAACCTTAGGCTGTCTTAGGTGGGCTTTGTTCAAATATACCTAAATTTCTACTTTATTCATCGCTCCACAGTGCACATTGCATCCCCTGTTTTGCAGATCACAAAAAGACCATGGGTGCTACTGCAACATATGAATTTTAGAGTATGTCCATTTAGGTCACTGAAAGAGTTAAACCAATTTATTTTGCACATTACATTCATCATTCCTTAGCAAGCTACAGCCACACAAGTAAATGTGACTAGAGGGGATCTGTAAGAGACAGCTCATGTAATTGGAATCTTTTCTATTTTCTTCTACCAGTGGAAATTCATTGCTTATTCTTACTGTCTATCATTTTCCTCTATGCTGCCTAATAATATTTTAAAGAGCCAGCTGGATCCATCACCCAGGAGCACAAATTCAGTACTCCTGCCCCACTTATCAACAAGAGAGAATTGTGTTCACTTGTTTGCAATAGATTCTGCTGATCTCAGTATCTGCATTATGAATAACATCTTAAAGGATTTCAATAATAAATTGCGAATGGCCATATTTTTACTGAAAATATTCTTTTAAGCTTTACTCAGTAATTCTAAGACTGTTCAAAAGGAAGCTTTGTATATTTAACTATGAAGCACAGCTTTTACTGTGCTAACCGTCTGGCAATAATACTTAGTAAGTTTGAATTGAGCTATTTCAAATCCCACACAACCTAAAATGGTTTGGCATTAGAATAAAGGTATTTTTGACCACTTCAGAATAAACCTATAGTGAAATGTTAGTGTGACAGGTTAGATTTCATGGTTTTCTGGCTTTGGACACAGTAATTTGGAGAAATTGCTTGTCGAGTCTGCTATTTCTTCTTCTTGTGGTCAACGGAATTTAAAAGATTCACATTCTCTACTTCCCACAAATGTTACTTATACACTGGACCAATTGAATCTTTTCAAGGGTCACATCCTTTTATGAATTGATCACAGATTTTTCAGTGTGACTGCTATTTCAGTTTATTACATATATCCAGAATTAAATATAAACTTTCCCCTCTGCTATTTTATCATTTATTGCAAGTTTAGGAATGTGTAAACATATTTTTGTTGCAACTTAGCAGACACACCCAAACAGTGTTAGTCTGTGTTTTACTATGTTCACTCTAGCCGTCATGATTCATTTGTATTTTACTTGTGGCTTCTGGTCTGTCACTTTTATTTGTAATTGGTTCCACAGTCACTGTGGCTTTTATCTTCTATTTTATACATGTCTCATTACTGTCATGTTTAGCTTGTTTTATGCTATATGGTCGCTCCTTTGTACCTTTATTCTGTGTTTTAGTATCTAGGCAACACTCTTGTTTTTAATTTATTTTTGATATCCAAGTTCTACTCATTCCTGGGGTTACCTCCCCTCTCTTCTACCTGACCAATTCTTTGTTAATTCTTGTAACATATGATGCATCTCGATACACGTTCAATAGATCTAACAGATGTCAGTTTAAAGGATTAACAAATTTAGTGACCTTGAACAGTGGATTCTGAAATCCAACTGTGAAGTGAAAATGCCATCCAAACTAATGTAGTGAAGGTGATCTCAAAACCATTGACAGCGTTAGGATATTCCATTATCAACATCACTGATATATCTAATCATCTAGATTTCAGTAATGTGCGGATTAAAAATCTCAACCAGACTGAAGTATACTATATAAGTACTCGGCATACATACAGCAAGCTTCTAACAAGGGAGTGAACAGAGCCCTCTTGAGATAAGTGCAGCACCATAGCCACTGATATAATTTCTGATTGGAATTATTCCTCTAGAAATCACATAAAAAATTAATTTAACAGACAACTTATTTATCGGATTAGAACCTTATCTCCCAATTCATCTGGTAAATTAGCATTGCTCTGGAATTTAATTACCCTGAACTGGATGTCTGAATTGTTGGGCTGTGTAAGACAACATATTGAATAGAATTTCAGCGAAGCTGTGTTGCGTTTTATAGCAAAGTTATGATTCTACATGAAACATATTTTCTGATGTAACCATGCACACCAAATGGGCTTTTTCTTTTTCGCATTTGAATGCTGGGCTTTACCAACCTGCCCGCTCCCTCCACTCTGCAGGCATATTGGCCTGCTCCATGTTCCCTGCCCACTCCACTATCGGTGGTCGGGCCTTCAGCCCTTCTCTCTCCACCTTCTGGAACTCTATCCCAGAGAACCTCCACTTTGCCTCTCCCTTGCCCCTTTCAAAGTCCATCGCAAGACCTTTCTTTTCGACAATGCCTATGGTCATCTTCCCTCCTCCACCATCCTTACCCTTCACCCCTCTCTGATCCCAACGCCTAGATTGGGTCCAAGTGCCTGACTGTCCAACACCTTGGGATGTTCTCCGGACGTGAAAGACGCTATACAAATGAAACTGAAGAGAAGAAAGGCGCTATATAAATGCAATTTATTGTTGTTTATGCTTGTCGTTGTAAGTGGTTTCTAAAGTATTTTTTAGTTTGACATCCATCCATATTATGACTCGTTCTGTGGTTTTGCAGTACACCTACCTGAAATCTCCTTTATTGTTGCTGATTCGTTCTGCAGAACAGTATGGTGCAGATGTCTCTAACACCACAATTTCCACCATCTTGGAGCTGTTCCCTCGGGAGGTGGTGATCAGACATTCCCACTCCCCTGTTGCAGTAACGTCAATGTTGGACAGGATCAGCTCACTGAATAATTTTAAAAAAGTGAAAAAAGATGCTTTGTTGCTATCTTTTGGCAATGAATCAAACAGTCAACGATTACAGAACTGTGCTATTTTGGAACATACTTCAACCAATAGCCCTTATGTCCTTGCAGCTTCAAACATGCCCTGCATCTTCCTGATCCTGAATTTATGATACAGAAACAAAATGCACAGAAGCATGGAGATTACCTTCTTAATTTATGATCCTCTGTTAGTGAATTACATGTTTTAATCTCACTATATTTTTCATTTTGGCGAAGAAATGTCACTGCGGTTTGCGAGGGTTAAAGAGTTGTAATTGTTTAGCCAGTAGGGGCTAATTTAAACAGGAACTCTATATGGAAGCTTTGGTTTAAACATTCCTATCAATCAAACAGCAGATTGAGCTGGCAATATTTCTGACTGCTGTTTCACCTTGGCTATATCACATCACAAACCAGATTTATGGTAACAATATCCTGTGGAAATCGTGCGATGCTTATCTTTTTTTGCTCCCAGATACAGAATCATGCAGGATAAAATATAATTTAATAGAGTTTCATTACATCTTATAGAATTTATTAGGATCCTAGTTCTCTTCCGCCAATTATCTTCTCTTTGCAGGTCGCCCACCAGCACACATCCATCTTTAACTGAACAATCTTCGTGCTGGACATTCACAACCTCCATCAATGTCTCTACACATTCAAGCAGAATGGAGATGATTCAGCCAGGACTCACTGGTCGATAAAGTGAGTTTGTCCTCCCTCTGAGATAGAACTCCTGATAACCACCTAGTTCTGCCAACAAGCAACCTTGCAGTAACTGATAAAGCGTGTCAACCGGAGCAAACAAGGCTGAATGACAGGGAGCTCTGAGATTCAAACTTACGATGGCTTCAGCCTGATAAGGAAACTGCACTCTTTGAACTACTCAGCTTCAGCTTATTTATAAAAATGTAAAAGAAATGTTGCTGTAACATGTTACTCTATACCTCTCCCAATCCTAGAAAGAACACGTGTAGATATTGTTCCAAGTGAAAAAGGGAAAGATACGTTATTATCAGAAGTCCAAGGGAGTATATCAGGCTATGTAAAATTTCTGGTTCTCCAGGGTTTGGTTTCATTAATTCCTTTTGGATTTTTCTTTTCTTTCACTATTCTGTTGTACCTCCTCTTTTTATTCTTTTCCTCAATCTTTATTCAATCTGGAGACATTACTGGCTGATTTGGAAATTAGGAGAAAAGGTTTGATAGGAAAATGGAACTAAATGGATAGCTCTTTCAGAGAGCCAGCATAGACACAATGCACCAAACCAACTCCTTCAGTGCTGTAAATTTCTATGGTTCTAATTTGTAAGGAATTATTACATATTGTAAATTTCTCAAACAAAGAATTGTTTTTTTGTTTGAGAAATTTACAATATGTAATAATGCTGTTAACATTGACAGCAATGTTAATGCTGGAACATACTGAAGCTGGAGTAACACCATTCCATATTAAAGCCCCTCACAATTAGATGAATTTGTAATGTATTTATGGTACAAATGTAAGAAAAGAAAAACTTCATCATGATGCTGCATTCTCACAACGTAGCATGTTGATGCTGGGCAACACCTGACTCAGTTGAGAGCACAATATTAGGAGGTGAGTTCGAAGTGAGGACTGGAGACAGGAAACTATGTTAATTCAGTGGGGTGTCTACCAGCACTTTAGAGATCTGATAAGACCCATTGCAATAGATTGCATTTACTTTTCATTCTGCATTCTCCTTTTCCTTCTGCAATGAATCATTTTTGAACGTTACTGCATCCCATTCTTAAGTGTTGCCTTTTACTTCATTTCTCTAAATGTTTTTAATATCTATAAGCTGTCTGTATCCGCCAGGGAGAAGAGAATATATTGGAAGGATACGAGGAAGGGTTTTGATCAGCAGAATCTTTATTGATTCCCTAAGTGGAAACATGAAACAAGCACGAGCCAAAGAAGAGTCAACAACTTCAAAAACCGTCAGGTCAATTCTGCAAGCTGCCTCTTCCAAAATAACCACCTCAATTGTGGTAAATCAGTCCGAAATGCCAATGTGGCTCTGTGACATCTACTTTGTGAAAATAGATTTCCTCGTGATCAGCAACCCTGTCAGATGCATTTTTGTCTGACCACGTTAACACAAAGGGTAGATACCAGCAGGGTTTCAAAATAGAATGGGACTCATTTCTGGAAATTAAAATTAAACAGTTATTAGATGATGAGACAGATGTGTTGCAGGAATATTTTAACATGAGGATTAGATAGGCCTGGTGGACCAATATATCTGCTGTTAGAAACTTACTATGTAACTATACCCTTTAAAAGATTGCATAGATTTATAACTCCACAACATGTGGACCTATGGTTTGACTCAAAAGTAATATCTTCGTTTCATTTTCAAAAAATCCTTTTTCGGAAGGTTTCCGAGGTGAACTATTTTTCTTAGCAGACAAGCACTCAGATTGAGCATTTATGCAGAATTTTCCTCAATAGACAGAGCAGGCAGAGTAAAGTCTAGAATCGGATAGCTTTTAAATCATCTGTGGAAGAAGTTTCCTTGATGGGCCAAATCACCTTTTCACATTCCGTGCGTTCTTATAGTGGGTTCACAGACACTGAAAAACAATCAACACTATAGGAATTAAACACTTTATTTGTGCAATTGTAATGCAGATCATTATAAAGTACAGCTCAAGAGGGAACCAAATTACTTCTTTAATGATCAATCACTGATTTGATGACAAATATACAGTATAAATATAAATACAGCTAACCCTCCTCCTAACACCATGTAGTCTAACAATGCTGGTTGCACATTGCACAAGATTTAATCATTTGTAGTATATTCAAAGCTTGCAGGTCTTCTGTTTGACAGCCCGGACAATTTGAGAATACTGATTTTAATGTTATTAAAGAGCGAACTGGTATTAAACATCAGAACATCAAAATTAGGTATTTGTTCTTTTTCAGCCTCATTTCAAAACAACATAGAGCAAATATAATCTAGGCTTTTTGTAATCTGCAATGTTATTCTGCCGAGAGGGAAACCAGCAACATTCATTCAGGATCATAGGTTACATCAACCAAATTTCTTTTCATACCCTAATGGTTGTTTTGACGCAGAAACCATGCTAAAAATCCATTGGTTAGATACCATCACAGTGCAAAAACCTCATATTCTGAAAATATTGATGGTTACCCTACTTTTGTGAAAAAAAATCTTACCATTATCAAATTTTAAAAGCACTGCCAAATTAAAAAGAGAACTCAAATTAATTTAGAAGCAAATGCCCTCAGGATTCCTGGTGAGAGCACACAGACTCTGGTTTTGTTAATGTGCCTGCTCACTTCACATGTTGATGACCAAAGAGAAGTTCCAACTGGCTCAAAGATTCTGCTTAATTGCCACAGGTTTAATATCCACCACCTTGGCGTGCATGATTGAGAGATCTTTGGCCACAAGACCATCAGCAATGCAATTAACAGGCCTGGTCAATGGTTTTTTGAGACTGCTAGACTTCAAATGGTAGTACATTGTTAATGACCAACGAAGAAAGAGTCCTAAATCATGAGTCATTCCATTTAAGCAACAATGTTGACAATTGAAGACACTCACCCCACTGACCAAGTAGGCACTAAACACTGTGCTCAGCTGGCACACTAGACTAAACACAAATTTCCTGAAACATGCATCCGAGTAATCACCTTAAAGCTCAAAATCTGCCGCAGCATAAACAGCCACACTGAGTGTTTTGTTGAAACTCTGATTATAACTACTATATTTTCCTTCCCAAAACAATTGGCACAGTGTGCACAATTCCCTTTTTTAACCTTTGAATGCCCTCATGCTGTTTGAATGTAGAGCCCCATGTCCAAACCTATTTTCAGTTCCTCATTTCCTGCCCATGGGAAATGATTTGCCCGTTTCCAGTCCGGCAATATGGTAACCAGGATTGAGTTGCAGTATCTGCAAGCGGACTTGATACTGTATTATTTGCAGAAATTTTCTGTTAAGCTTTTAAAATCCAATGATTTGTGTTTTATCATCAAACTTTTAACACAGAATTACAGACTTACATGGTGATTGTTGTATTCTGCAACTTATACAATCATGCGCTGCTTTATGAAACACAAATACAGAACAAGTAATTATAAAACAATTTATACTGATGAACATTTCCATGGAGTACCAACTGCTATCCAGCCCAAGTGGTCATTGTTTTTATGTATGGACTGTCAGTTGTCTATTCAACCATGGGAGGCATCATTGCTCAGCCTGCTCTCGTTTCCACACAAAACAGACTTCTTCCTTCCTGAATAGCAACAACGAGAAGGAACTCTAGCAGATTTTTCCTTTCCTTAGTCACTAAGCCAATTGTTGCATCGCAAATGTCTGAGATCAGCTAACTCAGCACAAGCCAAGAATCAAACCTTTGACCTTCTAGTCTGCATGGAGCATTGGCACATTAGGTGAACATACATATTTGTAATAAATCAACATTCCTGGTTGGAAACAATGCAAACTTAGAGTAAAACAAACCAATCTTGCCCCGCAGTACTTCATTTAATATTTTCCCCCACCTTGATAACACTTTATTTACTTATGCTCAAAACCAAGATTCCATTCCTTCAGGCAACCTCTGACACACTCAATGCTTGGTGATAAATTATTAAGTGTTTACTGAATGGAATAATGTCAAACAGTTCACCATACAGATTTTTGATGTTTATTATTTGGGAAAACTAAAAGTACCAAATAGCTATCTTTGAGGCAAGACACGTCTTATATTTTAAGCTAAAACATACAACCCTGGATTTACAAATGCTAAATTATAGGTAAAAATGATCAAGGCTAAAGCTTTCCGTCCATTTTATATTGAGTGTAATCCATCATTTTTGCATTATAATTTAAAGTACACACACTGGCTTTCCTATTTTAAACTACTCTTGTTCTTACATTGACAACCACCCACA